TTAAGAGATCAAGTAAGAAAGGGAGTGGGTCAGAGAGAAAAAGAGAGAGAGAAAAGCGAAAAGAGAGAGAAGCTTATGAAAAAGATAAATAATAATGGACCAATAACACCACTGTTAATGTTTTATTTTATTATACATCATCGCATACATACTTAACAGACATCCAAAGATACCAACAAACAAACAAACCAACAAACAAACAATCAAACAAACAAACAATCAAACAAACAAACAAACAAACAATCAAACAATCAAACAAACAAACGTATATACAAACAATCAATCAAACAAACAAGAAATATAGGATTAAAAATATAAAAATACAAACAAGGCAGATCAGGCAAAAAATTACTACAAAAATACGAGCGTACATTTTGTATATTAAGAAACAAATCTTTTTCTCTTTCTTTCTCTCTCTCTCCCTCTCTCTCTTTCTCTCTCTTTCTCTCTCTTTCGTTATCTCTTTACAACGCAAACATATTAACATACGACATTGCAAACATACAAAGTTTATAAACAATCATTTACATGATTACACATGTACACACACACACACACACACACACACACACATACACAGAGAGAGAGAGAGAAAGAGAGAGAAAGACACACGCACACACACACATGTATGCACGGCACACGTATATACATAAACAACTAGACGTACACACACAAACACATATATACACACATAAACGGACACATTTCAATCAATAATTAACTTTTTAAGATGAATTTATCAATTGTTAAAAAATTATAAAATGAATCATAAGTGGATAATAATTTATTAAGAAACAATTATAACTGAATTAAATATGGCGGTTTTAAATGAATAACAGCCACACACACACATACACATACATACACGCATGCATATACAGATACATATACATACATATAAATTCGTTTACACATATATAGACAGAACACACATACACACTACACATATATACACATACAACATACACACAGACCTACACACAGAAATACACACAACATTCAAACACATACATACACACACGCATATATATATATACGCACATACACACAAACGTACAACTGTAAGATTGACCCAGCCTTGGTCCAAATGAACATAAAAATAGCTGGTGTACATGTATGTATACACATATACATCTTCTTTACAAAAACACATACATACCTTCATACATACACACACGCATGCATACGTATACACATACATACATACTTACATACACATGTACCCAGGTATGGTATATTTTTATTATTTGCATATGCTGATAATATGTATAATGCAAATTTTTATGGTGAAAGCAATTGAGAGAGAGAAAGAGAGAGAGAAAGATTATAAATTTAGTAGAAATACAAACACAAGAACACATACACATGAATATAAAGAAAAAAGATGAAAGAGAAAGAGAGAAGAAAGAGAGAGAGAAAGAGAAAAAGAGAGAGAGAGAGGGAGGGAGAGAATGCATATGTGTGTGTGTGTGAATATCTGTGTGTATGCGTGCCAGTGGGCAATACAACGCTGAGATGCTTACAGGTAGGTACACAATAATTATATTAGTTTGTATTTATAGTATTTTCTGTAAAATACAAAGGCATCAATGGTATTTTTTATCTAAAAAAAACTTCAAAAATACCTTAAAAATAAAAAGCCAAAAAATCATTCCTAAATGTTCTCCTATCGATTTTTTCTCTATTTCTATTTATAGAAACTATTCAATATAAGATTAATTTTCTTAAAAATTTACATATTATTATTTCTATAATTTACATTATTTAGAAATAAATACAAACATATACGTGTAAATATAGACACACAAACACGGACGCGCTCACATACATACACACACGCACACACATACACACACACACACACACACACACACAGGCAATCCCATGTTACTCATGCTTATGCTTATATACACGCACACACATATCTACATGAAAAACAGCTCAGAAACAAAACTTCACATACACATACCAACACATCACTCTTTCTCTCTCTTTCTCACTCTTTCTCTCTCGCTTTCTGTCTCTCTCTCTCTCTCTCTTTCACACACACACACACACACACACACACACACACACACATAAAGCAAGAGTAGCATATACACGCACAAGACTAGGAAGAAGCGCGCACACACACACACGCACACACCAATCTCCAATTTGGTTGGCTGCTTGTTTGTAAGGCTCGTCTTGCACTTTTAAGACCAACGTATTAAAATATGCAAGGTCCCCGCCGACTTTAGACACATGAAAAAAGAGAGAGAGAAACAGAGAGGGAGAAAGGGAATAAGAAAAAAAAGAGAGAAAGATAGGGAGAGAGAGAAAGAAAGAAAGGAATAAGATAACATCAGATAAGAAAGAACTATAAAAATAAAGATCAAAAAGAAAGAGAGACACGTAGGGAAAAAAAGAGGGAGAAAGAGGGGGGGTGGGGGAAAGAGAGAGGGGGGGAAAGGAGAGAGAGATAGCAGAGTAATGGAACATACTTAAAAGCTTTTGCATACAACTGCAATGTTTCACGAAATAGTTTGCAAAGATTCATCTCGCTGCGTCCTGTCCAGTCCAAGCAGGAATGATCAAACATTTTCTTAACGATTATGAAACGACCGGGTGGGTAATTAAAAATAATAATTATAATAATAATTATTATTATTACTTTATTATATTTCTTATTAATAAAAACAATTTTTTAAATGTTTATCTAGTCTATTTAATTTTTCTTAGTAGCTTTTTATGCTTCCCGAATATGACCCCCTACTGATTATTAATTCACAACTTCACACACATTACATTTGCATGTATTCGTGTGTGAACGTTGTACATTCATTACACATGCATACATGTTGTACACGCAATAAATACTCCATACATGAGTACACGAATGCACATATGTACAGTACATACAGAAGTATATTGATACGCTAACATTTATACATACACTATACATGAATACAAATATACTAAATACACACGCGCGCAAACATATATACGCATACACGCACGCAAACAGATACACGCATACATATACATGCGCATTTCTGAAAAACGAATTTTTAGCTTGCGGTGGTCCAAATAGTTCAAGGATGACATTGAGAACGGCTTTTATAGAAGTTATCCATTTTTTTTCTTGTTTTTATTATTTTTAGAAGAAATTTTATTTTCTGAAGTGAAAATTATAAGAAAGTGACTGCCTAAAAGTTGTATGAACGCCTGTGGATGTGGTTTGCAGTTTTTGTTGGCGAAATTTTTTAATTAAAAATAATAATTAACACAACTTAGCCATCCTCGCTACGTCATTCATTCACCACAGAAAAATCTAAGATCGTTTTTGAGCGCTAATACAAAATAAAACTAAAACGGTCGAATTTGAAAATCATTGGAAACGCGAATGAATTAAGTTTTAAAATTGAAATTAATTTTAATGATAGAGTTAAAAAATGTTAGGCTCACCGTTGTAATTGAAGAGGGCGAGGAACTTGAGGTAGTAGTACTCCAGCTGAGTCACAGAATCCTGTTGAAATTTCGATATAACCATGTTCAGACTCTGCAAAAATTCTTCCATGGGTTTAAAACCCGCCGTCCAACCGTGAACATGGACATTTCTGTTGGCTAATAAAAATTTCCTCGCTTTCTCATCCTGGCATACTTCAAGTTGAATATTTTGACTGGCTATGTGCAGTACAAGGAGCCTGGACATGGCGGCGACCAACATGTGACGTTGGTCCTTGTAAGGCAGCTGAGTGAACTCTGGCAGGCTGTAGGCGAACTGAACTTCATCCTTCAAGAAGGAGAGAATGCTTTCGTTTGAAGATTTCGATAGCATCATGGGTTTTCTGTACTCATTGAACGTGGAAAGACATTTTGAGTAAATTTGGTCAGGTGATCTTCGGCTGTTGTAGCTGCTGTTTAATTGCTCGTCAGCTAATCTGACGGCTAATTTGCGAGATGCCTGATCATAATGATCATCCCCCTGTGTATATAACGTCATCAATTCATATTCGGGAGTGGTGTGTGCCAACGCCTTTTCAATTGAAGGTACGATGACGTCACTACTGTCGTCACTCACGTCGTCATCATCCTCAAAAGAATTGCTACACAATATTTTCTTGAGGAGGGAGCCTTTAGGACTTTTCTCCTTTTCGTAACTGTGCTTCAATGTTTGAAAATAATAATTTGGGTCAATTTTTAACCGCTTACTTTTTATCAGTTTCTCGCCAGATGTTGCTTCGTGAAATGTCGACTTGACTGCATCTTCATAGACTTTTCTTTTTTTGAATAAAAATTCGCCACGAGGGCGGGAGATTTCCGAATCATCAAACTGCATCTGTCTCTGTTCATCATTAAAGATGGGAGGTGAAGGCACACTGACGTAATTCCCCAGCGCAGTTCCTGAGAAACGAATTGGAGGCTGGGTTGTCCCATTTGAGAAGAGAACCGTCGGCTCGTTCAATGATGCACAGCCTACTCCTCTGACTAAATTTTCCCATGACTGATCATATTTAACCCTCCCAAACAACATGCTACCAGTGCAACCAGTGAAGAATGAATTGTGTGAACCGACGGAACTAGATGTTACTGAATGAGATGTTCTAAAATTAAAAACATCAGTCAACCATTTGCTCATAGAATCTAACTCTCGCGTCGCCTGTCCACCGGGCGGTTCAGGTTCATCTTCTAAATGATCATCATCCGAATCCTCATCTTCTCGCGACAGCAAGTTGAAGAGCAGCTTTGGCCTGGCGCCTGGTTCGACACTCCGGCTCGACATGGCTACTAATGAATACGGTGAGGCACTACCTGGACCCACGCTGCTACTGCTATCGACAGTGCACAAACTGATGCAGGGAGGTTCTTGCAGAGGTGCCGGAGTCATAACCGTTCAGTCATGATAATGTCGAAAAGTTTATTATTTTCTCGTCGAATGAAACTGAGTACGTGTGGTATCTGGTATGTATCTCTCTATCTATTCTAAATTTGATGTTGTTAACGATTATAAAAGTCTGAAACCTTCCATAAAAAATATCTAAACAGTTATTTTGTATTTATTCGAATAAACAATAAACGAATGAATAAGCGCCTGTTTAAATTTAGAAAAATTTTACGAACTACAGAACTACGAATGTTGTTGCAGCCTTGAAATGTGGTCCCTTTAACTTCAGCACAAGAAGTTATTAGTGCAGATGTATACGCTTATGATGTAAAGTATATATAATAATATATACTTTTCATATACGTATGTAGTATATATATATATATATATGTATGATATCCACATTATATAGTTATATATATATAATATATAAAGAGAATTTTATATATATATATATATACAGATTTATTTAAATAACGCCTAACATCTAATTTATACTAATCATAATAATAATAGTAATAATAAAATAATTAACACCATTGAAAAATGAAAAGTCAAACAAAGTGTAGTAGCGAGCTCATCATATGGAAGCTTCATGTTCTATATAAGTACGTGTCATATGCATTATATATTTATATAACTAGCGTATATATATATATATATATATATATATATATACATATACATAGCGTGATGTTACGTATTAGGGTATAATACGTTTATATTGTTAATATATATAATTTATATATAAATATATATTGGATTAAAACTATCAGAAATGCAATTATTATAAAAATTATTTTATTAATTTATCAATAATATATATATGTGTGTGCGCGTGTGTGTGTGCCTGCCGTGTGTATGTATGCCTATTTTTAACATATTAGTGAGTGTTAATGTGCAATAATACCGATTTACCCAATATATAACACGTACTTTTATATATATATTGGTCTAAAATAAATCACAGCTGTTTGTGCGTGTGAAAAGTGGACCGAAATATTAAAAAAGATTAACAATCGTGTTAATTTTTTCTATTCAATTATATTTTCAAACCACGTATCTGTTCGTTCGTGTATTGAAATCTTTGTTAACTAATTTTAGTCACATAGAGCGGAATATATTGTATATTTTATATATATTTATTTAAATGTTCCATTTTAAATTGAAATATAAGGAAAAACTGAAACAATCGATAATAAATTGATTAACAATAGATCAACTTTAGTCCGCATTAACAAAATGACTGTCCGTTCATACTTTAAAATCTATATTAATACTCATCTTGAAATAAATATATATTATTCAATTTATTTATTATATAAAAATTTGATGAAATATGAAAAAACAGAAGAATAACTACAAAAGAAATAAAATAATTAAATTACACAGAGAAGAATCACCATACTTCTATTGTTACGGTATTTTAGTATAGTATTTATACCATGGTAGTGTGGTATCAATATTATAGCATCGTATTATAACATGGTATTTCGAGACGGTACAATGGTCTAATGCGTTTATTAGCTGTGGGCTGCTGTGTATGTTATAGATACTTATAACAATTTGTTTAAAATGTATTGTTATTATTTTTTATTCTAATTCTTATTCTTATTATTGTCATTCTTATTAATATTATTATTTTAATCATAAATAATAATAATTATCTAATAACTATTGTATATGCACTGCTATAATTGTTATGATTTTCAATTACTAAGTAGAAACAATTACTAAGTTGGCTCAACGCTCAGCTGACCATTTCACAACCAAAGTATATTATTTTTATTTTGAATAAAACAATTGACAACATTATTTATTGTTTATAAGCTGCTTTTTACACACACACACACACACACACACACACACACACACACACACACACACACACACATGCTATCATGTGGTAACGATCAGAAAGCCCAAGAAAAACAATTGTAATAAAATCTTCACGAGCAACACAATTTTAAAATTGTATTAAATGGTTACAATGGTTAAAGGCCAGTGCCTAACTCACGGCTATATAATTGCCTGCTTGATGAATCGAGTGACCAAATTCTTTTTTGATATACCGTGGTGTATTTATACCAATATTTAAATAAAAATTTGATACCAACATTTAATTTAAAATTTGATACCAATATTTAATTTAAAATTTGGTTTTTTGCGTGTTGAATTGCTATTTGAAAATGCAAGCTAAAATAAAAGGCGAAAAGTTCTTGAAAATGGCTGTCGTGAGTCCGATGGTTAGAAATTACAACATGACAGATTTCCTCAGACATGGTTTTGTCTTGCCAGTTAAAGACTGGAATGTCGGAAAAGACGAAGAATGTCCCATTTGCTTGCGTGTCCTATTCGGATCGAGAAATATCGTGCTGTTGAAGGAATGTCTTCACAAGTACCACATGACCTGCATAAAGAAGCGATTCAAAAAGAATGAAGAGTTTAAACTTGTATGTCCGACCTGCAACAAGGTTTATGCAATTCCTGATACCTGGAATGGGAATCGAGCAACACTCTATGTTAAATTTGTTCAAGACTGCGTGAGGATTGAGATCGAATTCAACTACGGTTACGGATATACTTACCTGTTTAAGTTAAAAAGGGACCAAGAAATCGTCAAAACAGTTTCGCTATTTCTTAAAGCTTGGAAGATGGATCTTGTGACAGACTACAGCGTTCTGAATTTATTCAAGGAGAAGGACGGCGAATTTATCAAAAACTATTTGAAGGGGTTGAACATGGTCAACAATGATTTGGTCGATGAGTTCGTTACTGACGTTAGCATGTATGGCGACGACGTTGATGACTTTCAAGAAGGTGTCGGTAGTGTATTCTTCAACAACGGTAATAGTAGGAGCTAGTGATGTCAAAAGCATACAGTGATTCTAGAACATGTAGTTTGTTATTAGAAAGCCATGCCGATGGTGTATGTGTATATTTCGATTAATTTATTGATTCATGTATAGTGATGTGTTATAATGTGGCAAGTTTAATGATTTGATGATGATTAAACCGATTTTGATTCATTGTCCAATCTTCCAACAATTATATTACCAATGATTTTACTATTCTATATTATGATATTTGTTTTTTTTTTCATTTCTTGCTTTCCAAACCATTTTAAGCAAATTTTGGAGATTTGAAATTAATTACATGATTTTTAATGCAAATCTTATCAGAATATAATTTAATCAATGAACGAATTCTTCCCGTTAGTCATACCGCTTCTTTGAAATGTAATTACTATCCCACCTGTTTAATTTTTTTTCTAATTTCAAATAAATGATTTATCTAATAAATATAAATTTAAACGTTATAAATTGATAAAGATTAAAATTAAAATAAAATAAAAATAAGACTGGTGGCGTCCTATTCTTCCTTTAAATAAATAACATCACCAAAAGCAATTAAGTCACGACACTCATATTTAAGGTAACGTATTTTTAATTAACGATAGAGGCAAATGTTGTTATGATACAATCATGGATATATATAATATTCATGGATACGATATAAAAATGCGAACGCTGATAATGTTAACGTTTAAAATCAAGTAGTATAGTTCAATTCTTCAGTGTGATCCATTGAGAAGAACCTAGTATTTCAGATTAATTCCGAGTTAATTCCTTAAAAATTGATTTTCATAAATATCCTAAAAGAATCCCATATCAATCCCATAAAACCATATGATCATTGCTTGTAGAGATATACTAAAATTTTATCGACTAGCTCGCTATACATGTGGCTATATTTTAAGATTAAATAAATGAAATATCATTAATGAATTGTGCATTTATAATATATATATATATATATATATATTTCAGTGTGTGGCTACACGCACACATACACACACGCACTCACATACACATACACACAAACAAACATACACACACGCACAGATTGGTTTAAATGAAAAATTCTTCAAAACAATTTGATGAATTTTATTTGACTGACTACAAATAAAAGTGATTTATAAGTAAAATTAATATATACATTAACACGATAAAAACTTTGTAAAAAACACTGTATATATATATATATATATATATATATATATATATATATATATATATATATATATACTATATAAATATATATATATATATACTATATATATACACGTATACATACATACACAAATCAATTTTAACAAAAACAACATTACAACTCCAATCATCTTTTATATATATATATATATATATATATATATATATATATATATACTCTATACAAAAACAATATATATATATATATATATATTTATATATATATAGTTTGACTAGCACGTACGTACATTTAATAAAATATGTTTTAAATGGTTTACTACATAAGCTTGTAAGTGTGTTTTGTCTTTCAGTTTTAGTTTAAATGATAAAGATATTCACACATAAACACAAAATATATATATATATATAAGATATATATATATACTATACATATATATTTATATATAATATACTTTTCGTATATACAAACCTCTAAGAGCTTTGGCATTTGGTTAGTTTGAATGTTTCTGCTCTTCGACAGCTATCATGTCAGATCTTAATACAAAACAAGAATACAAAAAACAAAAAATAATGATGTGAGAGAAAGATTGATGTAGAGAAAGAAAGAAAGATAGATAGGTAAAGAGAGAGAGAGAGAGAGAGAGAGAGAGAGAAAGAGAGAGAGAGAGAGAGAGAAAGGGAGAGATAGAGAGAGTGAGAACGTATATATTTAATATTATCTATAACCCTACAACTAAAATCTTAAATCTGAACGAACCGATTTTAAAAACAATTCTACAACTAAAACTATTATACAATAATAATAATAATAATAATAATAACAATAATAATAATAATAATGGTGATAATAATAAAAATAATGATTAAAAAAGAGTTAAATAAAAATATAGACGCAAAATTTATAAAACTTACACAGACAAAATGAAAAAACGTAATGCTAAGGAATCATAAGCCATTACACAGCAATATAACTGCATGCAAAGTTATATCTTCATAACAAAGTTAAACACACACACACACACGCACGCATACACAAAAACACACGTATATAACTATAACAATATAAAACTCATTTCCAAGATACCCTTGTAGTTTACATACACGTGCATATACCGCCACACACACACACACACACACACACACACACACACAAACACATAGATACGCACATTATTTAATATCATGAAAGTTCTTTTTTACAAATAAAAAACAACACAGACAAAAACATTTTCAATAATGACAATAATAATAGCGGGGAAACAATGGAAAGCCAAAACGAAATTAAATTGAAACAAATTATAACAAATTAAGTTTGGATGCAATTGTTGGATTCCACTTAGTGTTAATATGTTGTTTGTCGTTAGAATTTTTTTAAAGCACTTAATTTAGAGATAAGCACATGGAAAGTAAACTCAACCAATTTTATAATATGGAAGTATTAGTGGAGGAGAAAAATGGTAACGCACACACACGCGCGCACGCACACACACGCACGCACACACATATATATATATACGTGCATTTTTTATAAATATGGGGTTGAGACTCAACCCTATATATATATATATATATATATATATATATATATATATATATATATATATATATAATAGTGACTAGTAGTTAGAATTGTTTAAAATTATTGTTACTAATTTTAGAAATTATAAATTATAGGGAAAAAAATAGCATAGAATAAAAAGTTTGAATAGAATTATCGAATGTCAATTAAGATGATAAATGCATTAACGCAAATTAATAACATGAGATGTGATGACAATAATAATATAAATGTAAATATTAACCAATAACAAATGAGCAACAAATGAAATCGTCCAATAATATCTTGTCATAAATATTCATGAATTTTTAGATTCGACTCTCTAAAACGGATCCGATCAGAAGCCAATAACATTGGTCAGCATTTAAATGAATGAACCAATCAGAAGCCAGCTTAAAAACGAAAAACCAATCAGAGCATATCATTACCGATAGGATATAACAGTGACATGTGTTCCGCACCTTTGATTGGCAGTTTATGAATTGTATAGTGCTGAATCATGTGTGGTATACTAGCGAATGGCTGGCTAAACTGACCCAAAATGTACCGACCATCCTGATTGGGTGTTATCTTCATGTGCATGAAGCCTCGAGTACTTCTATTGGTTGGTTATTTAAAGCATTAAATGAAAAATGGATCAATCTAAAAATAAAAAAATGAATAGATACAAGAAACTAACTTGACAGACAACGAGTAGTCATATCTGTTTGACTCGCTGGTGCGCACGAGATAGCTTCCCTCTCTGTGCATGCGCAGTATGTTCTCCGTCTCCACGCGGCCTATTCCACCGTGAAACCAACTGTTTATGTACGTACGTACGTACGTATGTATGTATGTATGTATGTATGCATGTATGTATGTGTGTATGTATGCTGCATGTATGTATATAATTACATCCCGTATTTCATCGCCGCACCGTACTAACAATTGTTCTTCTAGAGGAATGCGGGGATCGATGGGTTCAGCCGGGTAGTTTGGACCCCAGGATGCAGACGTAAGTGAAGTTCGACTGTTGTACTGCGGATGACGAGGCATGACGTTGTAGGAACATCTCATGTTGTCCGGGGCTGAATTAGCGATGGGATGTTTGCGTCGAAAATTTAAATTAAAATAGTCACTAATTTATTTTCAAATGGATTTTAAATGTAGCAGTGAAATTAAAGTTTGTAAAATAAAAAAAAATGATAAAATGGCATATCCCTTTATTTCTCCGTCCATCCCTGGACCCCCCAACTAACCGGTCTGCCAGGTGAAGGCCTGCTGCTGTTGCTGCTGCTGATCCCAAGGCTCATCATAATCAACACCGGGTCTGTAGTCGACGCTACGAACACTGCCTGATCTGTCGAGTTGGTCGCGAAGATGACTACGACGATGATTTAGAAAACGGTGACTGGGATTAAGATGAAGATTAAGATTACGATGATGGAGATAATTGCTTGAAATTGTGGAAATCATCAGCTACAATAAAACAATAATATTGAAATATAAAGGAAAGGAAAAAAAGACAGAGAGAAAGGGAGAGAGAAAGAGAGAGAGAGAGGAGAGAGAGAGAAGAGAGAGAGAGAGAGAGAGAGAGAGAGAGAGAGAGAGGAGAAAGAGAGAAAGAAATGATGTTGACAGAAACCAAGCCCGTATTTGATAAGACAAAAAATTTTATCATCCCTGTATCAACATAGGAAATTCCTTTTAATAATAACAACCTGATTAATACTTAGTACTACTTACTACTCAGTACTTAGAAGTAGTAATTATGAATATGCATTTGATCATTACAATTCTCTCTCCAATATTCCTCAAAGGTATCAACAACAACAGCAAACAACACACAGTGCATGTGAATTCACACATGGAACAACGCATCTCTCACACACACACACAATCTTTGCAATTGAATCCAGTCACTACAAAAGCTATGCCAGGCACTTTACTGTTACACCATTGCACCACTTGATATATTGTGAGAATGAGAGAGAGAAAAAAAATGAGAGGGAGAGAGAGAGAGAGAGAATAAAAGAACTTCAAAAGATAGACTCCTTAATTTAAAATCATCTCATCTATTCAAAGTTAAGTAATAATTAAGCCGCCTAGAAATTATGAAAGAATTAAAAAAAATAGTAATGACACTGGTGTTATATACATAGATACATAGACATGTAAAAAAGGACAAACCAAGTCATAAATAGATGATGATGTATACATATATTAACAAATTATTAATATTAAAACACAAAATAGATAAATGTGAAACATTCAAACGAACGAAAAAAAAAACAAGACAAACCTATAATGGTGCCTAACTGGTGCCTGCTGCGGTGTAGGCATGTGTGAAGGTGGTTGCTGTTGTTGAGAGTAGTAATATTGATTAGGCATATAATTAGGGCCGTGCTCCATACCGTAAGCACTCCTCATCATGAGAGACTCGTGTCTCGAACGCCCATCACTGGACCCCCTTGCTGCATCTTTGTAGTGGTGGTGGTCTCGCATTGGCGGCTCAGGTGCTGGTCCTGTTTGTTAATTTTAAAAGCAACTTTAATTATCAGATCAATTAAATTACAAAAAAAAATGCAAATAAATATAAATAATCTCAAATTAGAAACGCACCACAGGGCATAGGTAGATGATCATCTTCATATCTACGAGGCCCACACCACGTATCACTCTTGTTACCACGACTATTCATAATCTTTCCCCCAGACAGATCCAGCGGTGCATCGTGTTCAGATTGAATGCTCATGCTCATTCGGGCGGGAACAGGAGGTCGATTAATTGACTCAAAGTCTCCGCCGGTTTCGAGTAAGTTAGGCGGAGGCGGGGGAAGCTCGTTAGCTAAATTGTAAGTCTTGGCTGGTATTGGTGGCGGCTCCACTGGCTTCCCTTCCAAGGTATCATTATCATAATCTCCTGTCTCGTCGTTACCTTCACTAATCGATAACGCATCCACATTCTGTTGTTTAGGTTTTTCTAAGTTCCATGACCTCAGTGTATCAAAGCCAATCTGCGTTTCCCCAGTGCACATTGTTTGTTTTTTGGGTTTTTCCAAGGTGTCATCAGAATCGTTAATCTTTGGTTAGAAAAAAAATGAAATATGGATTGAAAATGAAGTATTAATTCTAAAAAAGTATCTAAAAAATAAAACTGACCATATTAAGGGTAGTGGTGGACGATTTTGTACTGGACACCCCTGAATCAATTTGATGGGACATGCCAATTGGCTGGGAAAGTCTTATAGGCCCCTCCTCATATGGATCGTCGTATTCTATTGGTCGACAATCTGTGTCACTATCTGGGCATTTGAAAATATAATTTTTGCGGTAAAAAATTTTGCATATAACGTCGAAAAGCAAATTTGATGTAACACAAAATTTAAATATTATGCAAACTTAAAATTTCAAAAAATATACTACAATTATAAAAATAAAATCAATTTAAAATTAGAATAATGTCTATTAAATAAACAAATGAATGAATATTTGGACTCTTACAAAATGAAATGAATGAATAAATGATGAAAGAATGATTGAATAGATAAATAAATGAGTAAATGAATTAATGAATGTACGAACAAAGAGCTAACAAATGAATGAATGAATGAATGAATAAGTAAATGGATAAATGGATGTCTACCTGCTTTTATAACATCAGGCAACTTGTCAGTAGCAGCAGCAGCAGCAGTTGTTGATTTTCTATCAGGTCCATCATCAGACTTTTAATAAAATCACGTCAATGCATATTAAATTACAATAAATAATATTATTATATAAAACTAAATAATGAATAAATAAATAATAATTTTTGAGAAATTTTAATCAATCTTTAAAAAAATATCATAGCATGAACCATTGTTATTAATTTATACACAACACCAGACAACAAAATTTATAATTATAATTATAAAGCAGTTTATACTCTAAAAGCCATAAAAGAAAACATGTTCTTAGTTTATTCAATTGCTGTAAGGAAGGTATGTTTGCAAATGTTATTTTCAAATTTTATTTGTGAACATTGCCAACATCAGTATATAAAATCTAATTTACAAGCATCATTTATACTTTGTGCAAGACATAACTGGCCAATTCTATAAAATACAATGTAAGATAAAGGCATGGTTTGTCAACAGTCTCAAATTATAAAAAGGCTATTCATGCAAAACAGTGTTATCTTACTTGCAGTAACCTTGTTCTAATGCCAATAAAAACCACAAATATAATATGTACCTCAATTCCATGAGTACGATTATGCATAAAAATTTGTTTGCGTGAGGTCTAATATTGGGAACTGCTAAACACAATAAAATTGTGCTGTGCATTTTAATAGCTCATTTTCATTTAGTAATTGATGTTATTAACAATAAAAAAATACTTTTAAAAATTCAATTTGAAATTAGTTTGGGATGCTAACCTTGTAGCTGCTCTTGCCGAATGTCGACATGGGCTCGTTCGACTTTTCATCGACGACATTCAACTTTGAAGCAATTTCGTTCAGTATGCTGTCAGGGGTTATTTTATTTTCTTTGATGACAGCACTGTAAACCGGAATATTTGGATCTTCGTACGCCATACGCGACATATCAACGCCATTTTTCGTCTTATCAGGAGTGTCGGAAGACATCTTACTTAACGATTCCGACGGGGATTTTAGTGGGGAGGTGGGGCTGTTAATGGAATCATCATCTTTCGTCCCGTCTTGCTGGCTCTTCTGCTGATTAGGATACTTATTGTTGCTAGATTTGGACGAGATTTTAGGCGATTCTGTTTCTATTTTGCATTTGTGTACTGGAGATGACGAAGATTTTTTGTTGCCAAGTCCAAAATGTTTCAAAATTTTTGCCATTTAAATTTAGAAAAGAAAATATTTAAAGGCAAAATTTAATGATTAAACAAAAAAGACTATGAATAAGTTTAAGATATTTTAAGCATATGTTAATTACTCGAAATTTTTGATACCCAACAGTTTCGCCCCTTTTTTTCGTTTGCTCAACTTCGCCGTTGAAACACTCCGCCGAATCAACACACCAACACAAAATTCATTATTTTTTTTAACAAAATTAAATTAAAAATAATATACAAAATGACTTTATTACGTCAAAAACATTAAACAAAAACGGGAATTTAAAACATTGTCCAATTATTCAGCAACTTCCATCAACATTTCTGGCTCTTTGACTGTCTCCCTCAGTTTAACTTTCACTTTCTCTTTTAATTTATCTGAAATAAAATTGAAAAAAATAACCAACACTTGAAAGGTAAAAAATAATTCAAAAAAAATTTAAAAATTGCAATAAATAGATAACCAAAATTTATTAAAAATCTAAGAAATGTAGCAAACCAGCTGGAGATTTGATGAGGTGGATGCATTTGGTGACCTCTCTGATGTCATCCTTCTTTCTTAATTCTTTGCCTTTGGTTAATCTAACAAACATAGAAAATAAAATTTTAATCTGAGAAACAAAAAAAGAAAAATATAGAGATATTAATTAAACATTAAATATAAACAATTATATAAAATTAGTCAGAAAGCCTTTGGCAAATGCTATGAGACACAACATTAAACAGTGCCCAATAAATAAAAATAATAATGATGATAATTGTATATAATATTTATAATAATAATTAAAATTTAGCCAAATCAACCTACCGTTCCTTGATGTACTGTGCCTCTCGTTTAACACGTAGCTCGTGTATCCTTTTCATGCCAGCAACTATAGCATAATATTAAAAATTATCTTTAATTAAAGTATTTTTTTACAAATTTCTAATTTTAAAAAAGTTTTATCCAATTGAAGATTTACAAAAAGTAGAACACAGTAAAATGAAATCTTAAAAAACTTTATTTACAAAATTTTTAATACTCCACTTACTAGTTTTTTTCATTAATTCCCTTTCATATTTTATAGGAATATTTCTACGTTTCTCTAATTCGTACACCGGATCGACTGTAAGTTCTTTGCCAGAACATTTTCTAAATGCTTTTGTCCAGCGAACTTTACGTGGGTTTCGTTTCTTGTTAAATGCTTTGTGACATTTGCCTCGACAAAAACGAAATACCTTAAAAACATTATTTTTAATAGATAAGTGTTGAAATCTCTACGAAGTACAAGTCTGACTGACTGAGATTTATTTTATAATTTTACAAATACATGAAATGAACTGCTTGGTCTTTTTTGGGCATAATGAAAAAATTATAACTTTGAATAAATCATGATATGAAGCATACAACAAATTCTACAATTGTATTAATCAATAGAACATATTATTTTAAAATTTAAAAGAGGAATTTGAAAAAAAAAGGAATATGTATGCATGAGGAATATGTACCTTATTATCGTTCCTTACGAAAGTTGTTCCGTGCCCCGGATAACACGGAGAAGAACAAAAATAACATCTTTCGATACGCATTTTTATTTATAATTAATTTACGAAATATTTTTTTCAGATTATGTTAAATTAATTATTTGATCAACTTTATCAGGCAACATACGAAAACAGGACACCATTGAAACAACACTCTAAAAAGGAAGTTAATTGAGTTTTGAAAATTCTTTGGTTTTTTTGAACCAAGTTATATATTTATTCTATATATATTTATTCTAGTTATATGATATGAACCAAGTGCAATTTATGTACTAATAAATATATTTATTAGTTTTATTTTAAATTATAAATAATTTAAATTGTATAAATATTGTTATATCTAAGCAAATACACAGTTAAGTAAAAATACAAAAAGATAAACCTAATATAAATGCACATTAATATACACGAAACCACTCGCATTAGTAATTAGGTAATGTTCTTTCATGTTCTTATTAATTTATGTTAATAATTTAGTTTTTAAAATTTCGTAAGATCATATGTTATAAAGCCATAAACGTATTGTACATCAACACAAATATGATTGCGTTATTTTATCAAATCTTTTTATTTGTTAGATTTTTGAGCATAAGCTTTCAAAGTAGCACTCCAAGTTTTGGCACCCAGGACATTGGACGCAACGTTTAATGATGCTAAGCTTTTACCTGAAGGTATTGAAATAGTCATTGATAAAATATTAAATAATGATTATATTATTTTTTCATTAAATTATTGTGTTAGTTTATCTACATTAGGTACCTGGAAGCTTCTTCTTTTCAGATTCATCTGGCACTGAAACTTTCTGATCGACTGAAACCGACTTACTGATGGGATGAATTTTCCTTTCCGTGAGAGGTTTGTTGTGCAGAATTTTGTATTTATTCACCAGTGTTTCAACTGTTTCTTGTTCATACTTAGTATGAGCATCTATTCCAAGTGACCTTTCGTTATTAACATTTTTGGATTTTTGAATCAACTTTGGTTCTGGTTTGAATGCGACCATTCTGTGAAATGCTGACTTATCTAGCAGGGAAGATGACTTTTTTAAGGTTACGTTCGTAACATTTTGTGGTTTTAATGGTTTCGTGATGCCATTATTTTTTGATTCAAAAAAAGCTTTAGTTTCAGAAACCGGTGGAGTAAAGATTGCGTCCTTACCTTCTGCATTAACGCTGTCTTCATTATTTAACCCATCGATCGTGCTTTTGTCGATTGAACTGCTTCTTGGTGTCGAATTAATTTTAGTAAATTTATTAATTTCCTCTTCATTATCTTTGCCGTGAAATATCTTTTTTTCTAAAACAAGTTTCAACTCGTCTTCAATGCTGCTACCTTTATCAAAAACTTTATTACGTTGGTACGAGGAATCACTGAAAGATGGTTTTAATTTGAAATCAGCACTGTCTCCTCTCTTTTTCGTTTGTTGGTCGCTTTCTTGCGTGGATATCTGCTCAAAAAATAACTTTTTTGATCTTAAGTTTAATTCTATGGTTTGATGTGCACCTGGTGATTTTGCTTCTCCCCGTTTTTCTTTATTTTTCTCATTTTCCGTGTTTATATTTGCATTGAAGACATCATTATCATTATCGTTAGAGATTTTTGAAAATTTTGAAAAATTATTTTCCAAGGTTTTAGAGTAGCTATATACATTAGGACTCGCAACTTTAGTCTCAGTGCTGCTTACATTTTTATTTTGCATACCTTGAAATGTTGAAATGTTGTCATTGTTCACGCTACTTGTCTTATTTTGATTTTGCGACTTTTGACTTTCTAACAACTGCTGAATTTGTTCTTCTGTGAATCCTTTGACGTTGGGCACTTTTGGTCTTTGTCCTGGAGGGCTCTTCAATGAAACGCTCTTCGAAAGTTTCGGCAGCTTTTCTGGCTGTTTGGGTGCCGTGTTGTTGGCATTTAACTCCATTGTTGTCAGTTTACTGGTGTTGTTGTACGCGTATTCTGAAATATTGTTCGTAGGTGTGGCAGATATTAAGTTTTTGTTTAACAAACTCGAATCATTGAAATTATTTTTAAAGGAAATTATTTGATTATTATCAGTAGATTTCTGTTCAACAACTATGGTGCTCACATTTTTTGTAAGAGTTGTTTTATTATTATCGACCCATCTTGATTCTAAATCTTTTTCGTCCTGTTCACTTGAAGAATTTTTTTTCGTAATTTTTCCCAAATAGAAATCATCGGCACTTTTCAATTTGCCCTTCACTCCAGTTTCAGGATTCAAAAAACTTTTCAACTCGTTCAACGTCACGTTGAATGATTGCTTGTTGAATGCCGAACTAGGATCGACATTATTTTGTCCAGATTCGCTTGTTAATCTCTGATTTTTAGGCAAGAGTGCTTGGGCGATTAGCGGCTTTTGCGGTTTTTTATCTTCAACATTTTCAGTTTCTGTTTCATTTTTGATTATTTCATTCGAGGTTTCATCATCTTTGTAATAATCTTTCAATACGTCGTTTAGTTGGCAGTTTGTAAGTTTCTTCATCGCGGAGTCGTATGAACGATTGGACGAACCATTGGTTGAACCAGAGCTAACTGAAATTTGAAAATTATGACAATTAGTGCTTATTAGTTAGTATGATAATTGTCTGAATGATAACTGATAACATTTTATTGTTAATAGATAATCGAATATCAAAGCATAATAATTGGATAAATACTTAAAATAATCAAAAAACTTGTATTGCCTTGGTTTTGTAGAGGTTTTTTAAAAGAAATGACATCGTCACTGTTCACGAACACTTCATTCTCGACGCTGGCATCAAAGTTATTTGGTGAAAGTTCAGGCAGTTTTACAATTTCCGAGCCTGAGAATATTCCAGAATCTTTTTCTTCGTCCGCTTTATATTCATTCTTATCGATTGATAACGGGTTTTCTTCCGCAACGTTACCCGATATTGATTCGAGATTGATTGTTGCTTCTTTCTCGGAGTCAATCACGACACTTAAATTATTATCAACTACATCCATAAATTTGTTTATGAAAGGTAGGTTGAACATGCTAGTTGATGAGAAGGAAGGGTTTTTAATGAGTTTGAAAGGAGCCGGCGAATGAAAATCTCTCAATGACGATGTTTTTGTATCCTCCCTTTGTACATTTGCGAATGATTGAGATACACTTATTATCGAAATATCGTTATTATTTGCAATCTCTTCTATCGGTACTACGGTTCGATTTACACCGGTTATATCGTCGGATACCGATGTTTTATTACAACCAACATTTGGAATATTCAATTTGTCATTAAAATCATTCAGACTTTCATTATTTGAAACAATATTTTTTAAAATTTCTATAGTATTTTCTTTGGTAAAGACACTCACAGCTGTCATCAAACCAGCCGATGTCGGCACCGACATCCTCGGAGATAATAATTCTTCCGGAGGCGGAAGAGGAAAACCTTCGTCGTCATCTTCGTCATTTATTACGTTATTAATGACGTCATTGTTGAGTTCCTTGTGAATTTTGAAATCAAATGTCAATGGTGAAGGTACGAGGGGTAAGTTCTCATCACGTGTAACTTCAACTTCGTTAATTTCAGTATTTTTATTGAAAATATTGTTGGAAGTTTTGGTAGAAACGTTAAAAAATGGCGGCAAAGTTGCTGGTAGTGGAGGAAAATTGTCGTCATCGTCATCGTCATGGATATCGTTTAATGTCTCAATATCCATATTTTCTGTTAGAATAACAAGCTTTTTTAATTTAATTCTTCAGAAACGATTAAATAAAAATAATAACAATAGCGTAAAACGATATCTTAAATGTTTTGTCTTGTTATATCTCACATTTTCACAAAACGACGAGAAAATTTTGATGTTTCTTCAGAAAAAGGACTCGATAACTTAACGGTAGTTAATTATAAAAGTTTTCAGAAAAGTATGTAGTAATAATTAATTAATGATAATGTTATATACACAACATTGACAAATACCTATGTATGTATGTGAGCCTCTAATTCATGGCTTTCAACAATATTTATACGTTTAGGATGCAAATACATTTCTGCATTGTATTTATTGTCTGACTAGTACATTTCACAGCTAACAACAGATTTGAATAGAATGATTTAAAAATACATTCCCATACGATGAATTAATTATAAAATAATGTGAATCATCCTTCTTAAATATAACTCTCTGAAATAATAAAATTATATGTCGTTAGAATTGTCGTGACTTTATGCAGTCATTTTTTTATTCATTAGCATATTACAGACGCTGATAAAAAAAACTTGATTTATACAAAAATGTTAATAATAATCTATGGTAATTAATAAAAACTTTTTGCATCTGTATGACCCATATATCTTTAATAATCAAGACGTATGATTTGACCTAATCGATATTCACAACTAGATTTCTATTACCATATTATACGTACTCATGCTCAAGAGGTTGGGTACTACATGAATCTGGTAAAAAAAACTACTAGCCATATATATAGAATATATATTAAGTTCTTTATACCTATATGTTATATTCTATATATATGCTACTAGCTTATTTACTATATATGAGCTACATTCAATGAAGATATCGAACAAAATTACATATTACAAAATGATAACTTATTGTACGATTTAAATCACTATATATCAAAAATTTTCATTATTAAATGAAAAAAATTAAAATAGAACTATAGTGCGTCTTCAATGTGATTCTGGGTAAACGTTTGTCAGGCTTTCGCAGGTTATTACTATGCTAATCAGTCCAATCCTACAATATTATGATATGTCAATATAATTTGGTGACGAGTTTTGCTGTGACATAAACACGTCTGATATTTTTTTTGAATCAAAAGTCTCAAAATGTCGAATAGTTTTGCGAATTTGGACGAGAAGAATCCATTTGAAGTTAGTTTTTGAATTTTTTGTTTAATTTTTGCGCTTGAATATTGTTTTAGCTCTGAAAGTTGTTTTGCCATCTGGTTTTTTCTTTTCTATTTTAATAAATTTAATTAAATTTTAATAATTTATTTTTATAATTTTATTTTAAAAGAATAACTTTGTTTTTTTTTAAGGACCCGGCCGTCTTGGCAGCACTGAAAATTGACAAGGGTGTTGCCAGGCATGAAGCTGACATAACAAATCATATTAATCAGGTGACCAATTGATTTACTTTACAATTGAGTCTTTTTCTTTTTCCTGGTATATTTACTTTTATTTATTTTATTATTATAATATCTTCTTATCTAACTATAATTCTAGTCTATCTATAATCTTCTATCTATAGTATATCATTTGAAATAAGTTTTCTATGTAAAAAATGTTTCCAGACTGTAGATGATGCCATCAATCAAGCCATACTTGGACCACCTCCTCCTTATGTTTCACCAACTTTATATGAGAGCAGTGCATCTGTCGACCTGCGTAGGAAACAGGAAGAACTAGAAAGAAAAGCTGCAGAACTACAGAGAAGGGAAGAGGAAATGCAAAGGAATGTGCAACTTCAGGGTTGGGCTTATTAAATTTTAACATTTAGCAATAACATTTGATATAATATTTATTTTTAATAATTTTGTTTTTTAACTAATTTAAAATTTATGCATTAACTTTATTTAAATTTCTTTAACATTCTTTTATAGATATCTTATAGTTTTTTTTATTTATTAAATTGATTATAATATAAAATATTGTGTAATTAATAATAGCATGATAACTAAATATGACCAATCAGTTCGCAGAAATAATTTTCCACCTTTGCCCTCATTTTGCCCTCTGAAGCCCTGTTTCTTCCAAGATATCTCCTTTGACATTCCATTGCAGTTTCAGCATTTGGTCAAACTTGGATATAAAGCATGGCTAGGTTACTGAATGAATGAATGAATGAATAAATGATTGAATAAATGATTTAATATATTAATCATTGATTTTTATCAGTTAATCAATCAATTAATCAATCAGTTAATCCAATCTGTCCCAAAAAATATTTACAAAAGTAGTCATTAATAGTATTGGAAAACTCCTCTTTACATGCACATATATGCAGGCTATGTTTCAATCTTGTCTATAAACGTCATAATCAGTTTGATATACTTGTGTGTGTCGATCTCGAATGACATCTACAATACATCCGGGGCCACATTCGGGTCTTCCATATTTTTGCTCATTCTCTTTCTGCCCTGTTCATTCATTTGCTGGTTCAGACCTCTGTATAATGCTTTTAGGTGTGTTTGTTTTTGTGGTTGATGTTTTTGTTGTGTTGTGTGGTCACTGGTGCTGTTGTTGTGTTGTTTCATTATTGTGTTAAGGCCTCATTCATTCATTTCATTTCTTCATTTATTTATCTATTAACTAAATTTTAAATTACCTTAACAAACAAATGAACCAACAAACTGATGAACCAACTTACTAATGAACAAACAAATGATGAAAAAATGAACAACAAACAAATGAACCAACGAACGAACAATGAACAAAACAACAGAGCTGACAGTTCTTTCAACTTCTTTCTTTTCTTCTTTGTATTCTTCATGCAGTTCTGTGTAAGCATCATTCAGTCACTTGGTATGAGTAGCTTTGGAACTGTGTAAGTTGAGTTTTTTCATTCGCTGATTGGTTTGGTTGAGTTGTTTGATTGGCTAATTGATTCAGTTAACTGGTTTGATTGATTGGTTGGTTCAGTTGGTGAGTAGGTTGATTAGATGGTTGATTGGTTGGCTCTCATGATTTTAAATGATTAGCTGTTTAACTGATTAGTTGGATTGTTGAGGGAATGAATGAATTAGTTGTCGAAAAGGTTTTATAATTGAAAAATGATGTCAACATTGAACGACAGCGGCATAATAAGTAGCATCTCCATGTTCATGCACGGCACTGCTGGGTGCATATTCGTTGGACTTCTCATGCTGCTCGTCGGTGTTGCATTTCTCGTCCTGGCCGCTATTGATCTATCTCTTTTACTTAAGGTTTTATATTTTTGTCTGATTTTGTTTTGTTTTGCATTGTTTGTTCATCCATTCATTCATTCATTCTCTCACTTATTTATTTATTTATTTATCTATTCACTCATTTATTTACTAACTTGCTTTCTTTAGTCACTTAGATTGATTTCTGTTTATATTTTAACTTTTGACAATTCGTCCTTGTCAATTTCAGTAAAATTGTTTTATGTGCAAACATTATATCAAACCCACACGCGCACACACACACCACACACGCACACACGCGCACACACTACACACACACACACATACGTGTGCATAGGTCCACCGCATCTACAGAAGCACGGGAGCTTCATTTGCCAAGGCGCAACAAGAATTCACCCAAGACATCCTGGCCAATAGAACATTTCAGCAGGCAGCTACCAGCCTCATAACAACTGGGGGCACGGCCCAAAACAACAGCTGCAGTGGCAACAATGTAAACAACAACTTAGCAGCTGAACCTATAAATAGATATTGAGTTATTAATAGATCATGGTCCAATGAATAGATATTGAGTTATTTATAGATGTCTAACTTGTAGAAAGATTCTGCTAATTGTAGATAATTTGATAAATATTGAGTTATTAATAGCCGTTGGTCTTATAAATAGAATTTGATTTATTAATAAATGTTATTCCTATAAATAGATATTGAGCTATTGCTATTGAGTCATATTAGATTTCGAGTTATTAATAAATGATGATGCTCTTATAAATAAATATTCAAGATGGTCCTATAAATAGATTTCGAGTTATTTATAGATGTTGATTCTAAAAATAGATTTTGCTCCCATAAATAGAATCCATCTCATTAATAAACGTCTACCTAATTATATACCGTGATCGAATTTTCAAAGTGGGTTGCTTTGCAGTTGATTCCGTCAATGGCTGTTGGTCTAATAAACAGATACTTCCCCCTTATAAAATAGAAATCGACTTTTAAATGGATTTTAACCTATCTCCTTTTAAGAAGTTAACCACGTCATGAAGCCATTGGTTTTATACATATTCTACACTACACTATATATAATTCCTATCATATTAATAATTATCATTTTGATTCAAATTCAATCACTTTTTTTATAATAATTACAGTTAGTATGTTATAAAATATAACTGCTTTTATCGTTAATATTGATTATATATATATATATATATATATATATATATATATATATATATATATATATATATATATATATGTTCGGCGTTAGTTAACATCCAATTTAACTTTTCAGAAGTTTAATTGGAAGTTTACTAACGCCGAACATGCTGTGATTTTCATCAATAATTGCATTTCTGACAGTCTTAATCTAACATTTATATATATTTAAATATATATATATATTTATATACATATAGTGTGGAGAATTCTACTGCATATTAAGAATCTTAAAATGTCCTTTAATGATTCATGCATTTAATGAATATATATTTTACGTGCATGATTTCAATATATCTATTTTCCACTGTCTGACCAGTACAAAATTAGTTTACGTGCAAAATTTATTTATTTCTAATTCAATGTTTATGTAATTTAAAAACCTTTTTTTTCTCTCCCTTATGTAACGTTTGTATCAGGCAAATTGGCTCAGTTGAGGTGATTTATTTGTCTTCGTATGTTTTTAAATTTTAAACCTGTGTTCATTTTAGATCATTGTAGTCGTTATATTTTTTTATCTATGTATTGCATTGCATTGTTGCTATTCATGTTGACGGTGTGGGCGTGTTTTTGCATTGTCTGAGATAAACAACACGTGCATCATCAACAACATTATAAACATCATCAAATAAATAATAATAAACATAGAAACGTCATCTACACTATATCTACATGAACAACGACATTAACACATCCTAGTCAATTGCTACGGCTAAAATTTCTCATTAGTTTTGTTGTTTGTGTCCTCTTGTTTACAATAAGTCTTCTATTCGTTTTATTTCGTCGTGAATGCTCTTGATGTTATTATAAATATTATTTTGTTTTATCATTTTTTTTTCTTTATTTTCTTTTGTTTTTATTTTTTTGTACTATCAATTAATCAATGTATCAATCAATCAATGTATCAGTCAGTCAATCAGTCAGTTAATCGATCAATCGTATAACTACTTTTTAAACGCCATTCAGATGTCGACATAATGTTGCATTACAATTTTTTTTTCATTTTGTGTATGTTAGTCTTTTCTGATTGGTCGGTTTTTGGCTTATTTAATTTTCTATTGAATATATATCTAGTCAGTTTGTTGTTCACACTCCCAGTGTTATATAGCTATGTGTGTGTGTGTGTGTGTGTGTGTGTGTGTGTGTGTGTGTGTGTGTGTGTGTGTGTGTGTGTGTGTGTTTATTTGTGTATCCATTCATATCCAATATAGAAAGATGCACTGCCATATATCTATATATACTACTATATTTATGTATGATCATATATATATATTTGTGTATGATGTTTATTCTGTTATTCTCTGTCAA